TATTTATATGTATATATATATACCCTAGCGGCTTCTTTAATATTCTTCACTTCCCCCCAGCCCTTCACAGGTAATTCCAATATTTGCTCTGCTGCTCCAAGGGGCCCCTGGGGGCCCCCCTGGGGGCCCCCCAGGCAGGGGCCCCCCTGGGGCTCCCCTGGGGGCCCCTGGGGCCCCAGCATGCGGGGGCCCCCTGGGGGCCCCAGGGGCCCCACCTTCACCTCGAAGTAATAGGAACCCCAGCTGCAGCAGCAACGCGCAAGGGAACTGCCCCAGTTGCGCCCACCTGCAGCAGCAGCAACAGCAGCAAAAGCAGCAGCAGCAGCAGCAGCAGCAAAATCAGCAACCATAGCAGCAGCAGAAGCAAAAACAATAACGACAGCAACAATAACAACAGCACAAAGAATCCATCGAACAGAAGAGGAAACAAATTCCAAGGAAGCATTTGTGATCATTAGCAGCAACAGCAGCAGCAGCAGCAACAGCAGCAGCAGCAACAGCAGCAGTAGCAGCAGTTGATGCTTTCGCCAAATTAAAACCCCACTACAACACGCAGAACTTTCAGCAGCGGCACGGACAGCAGCAGCAGCAGCAGGACGACTATCAGCAGCAGCACCCACGCCAGGACGTGCAGCAGCAGCAGCAGCAGCAGCAACAGCAACAGCAGCAGCAGCAACAGCCTACCTGTTGCAGTGTTTCTATCTAGCGACAGCTTGGCGTTATGGGTATAGCGGGGGTCGAAGGAATGTGCAGCAGCTTCTCTACGTAAAGAAATACCTAGACGCCGCCCCTCATAGCGCAGCAACTCACCTTCTCCTTGCTGCTGCTGCTGCTGCTGCTGCTGATGCTGATGCTGATGATGCTGCTGCGAAGAGGAAGAGCCAACGCCACGGGCACGCCCACGGCTGCGAGCCGGAACAGCCTGCTGCTGCTGCTGCTGCTGCTGCTGCTGCTTCAGCTGCTTCTTGCGGACACCTGCAGAGGCTCTAAGCGGTGCTGTTGTGTCTGCATTTGGAGTAGCAGCAGCAGGAGGTGCTGCTTCTGCTGCTGCTGATGTTACTGCTGCTGTCGTTGCGGTGGGTGCAGCAAATTCCTCCTTTGGTGCTGCTGCTGCTGCACCTGCTGCATCATTTGCTTCTGCTGCAGACAATCCATTGCTGCTGTTTGCTGCTTGCCGCTGAACTATTGCTGAGAGCAACTCACGAAGTGCTGCAATAAGATGGGGGCCCTCTCTGCTGCTGCTGCTGCTGCTGTTGCTGCTGCTGCTGGGGGTACATCTATCGCTGCTACTGCCGTTGCAGCTGTCAATGCCGTCGGTCCTACTGCTGCTGTTGCTGCAGTTGCTGCTGCTGCTGTTGCTGCTGTCTTTCGTTGCCTTTACAACCCACGCGAATACCTGCGGAGGCAGCAGCTTCTTTAAATTTTCATACACCCAAGGAGCCCGCTGCTGCTGCTGCTGTTGCTGTTGTTGTTGCTGCTGCTGCTGCAACAGCAATTGCTGCTGTTGTTGCTGCGTTATCCACTCTTGCTGTTGCTCTACGATTTGCTGCAGACCCCCACGAGAGGGACCTTGCTGCAGCTGCTGGCGCAGCAGCTCCAGCAGCTGCTGCTGCTCTACTGCTGCAGCAACCTTTTTCTCCCCCGGTGGAGGGCAGGCCGGAGGCCCCACAGCATCATCTTGCTGCTCGCTGCAGCCGCACTGCTGCTGCTGCTGCTGCTGCTGCTGCTTCGGTTGTTGTGTGTGTTCCATATTTATTGCTGCTATTACGGCTGCTGGCTTGCAGCTGCAGCAAGCAGCTGCTGCGCAGCATTAGGCGCCTCAGTCGCCGCGACAAGCCCTGCTGCTGCTGCTGCTGCTGATGCTGCTGCTGCTGCTGCAGTTGCTGTTGCTGTTGTGTCTGCTGCTTAGGCAGTCCGACAGCAGCTGAAGGCTTCGGTTGCGGGTGTCTAGCAAAGAAGCTGGAGAAGCCTGTTTGTTGCTGCTGATGCTGCTGCAGCTACTGCTGCTGCTGCTGCTGCTGCTGTAACAACAGCAGGAGCCGCTCTAGGAGATCGAACAGCGTAGGAGCTAAGCTGCTGCTGCAGATAATGCTGCTAAAGCAAGCTGCTTGCTGCTGTTGTTTCTATAGAAGACAAAAAATTTGAAAAGGATAAGGAGAGAGCATCCAATAACACTGTTATTACTGCCGTTGCTGCTGCAGCAGCTGCTGCTACTGCTGCGGCCGACAGATCTGCATGCGCATGCGTACCGCAGCCGACAGCGGCAGCAGCAGCAGCAGCAGCAACAGCAACATCAAGAACAGCAGCAGCAGCAACAGCAGCAGCAACACCAGTAGCACAGACTCAGCAATATGTCTGCTGCTGTTCTTTCTGCGGCTTCTGGTGGCTGCTGCAGCACATCGATGCTCGACCACCACCCGCCTCAGCAGCAGCAGCAGCAGCAACAGCAGCAACAGCAACAGCAGCACCAACAACAACAACACTGGACGCGGGAACAACGGCAGCAGCAACAGAAGACGCTGCAGCAGCTGCTGCTTGGGGGTAGCAAAGGAGACATTCGGCTGCGCAGCGCTTCAATGGATAACAAGCGCTCAACAGCAGCACCTGCTGCTGCTTTCCTTCGTGCTGCTGCTGCTGCTGCTGTTGCTGCTGCTCTGCTGCCTGGCGTTCCCCCAGAAGCTCGTTAGCGGGAACAGCAAATGGCGGGACATAGCTTACAGCAGCAGCAACAGCAGCAACAGCAGCAGCAGCAGCAACAGCAACAGACCCTGTTGCCTCGCGTGCAACGTCAGCTATGCCCACAGCAGCAGCAGCAGCAGCAGCAACTGCTGCGGGCTCCACAGCAGAGTCTGCTGCACTCCGCTCAGGGTTTGCAGCAACAGCAGCAGCAGCGTCAAGCAGTGCAGCAGCTGCCGCAGCGGCATCTCGCGCTGCAGCAGCACACCCAAAACAATCAAACCCCACTGCAGCAGCAACAGCTGCAGCAACAGCAACTGCAGCAGCAGCTGCTGCAGCAACAGCAACTGCAGCAGCAGAGGCATTACCAGAACCAGCAGCAAGCCGAACCGCAGGAGCACTCCCCGCTGCGCTGCTCACCAAGGACTGATCCACAGCGACAGCAACAGCAGCAGCAGCAGCAGCCGCAACAGCTACAGCAGCAGCAGCAGCAGAGACCGCCGCAGCAGCAGCAGCAGAGACCGCCGCCGCAGCAGCAGCAGAGACCGCCGCAGCAGCAACAGCAGCCGCACCAGCTACAGCAGCAGCAGCAAGTACAGCAGCCCCAGGAACTACAACGATATGGGGGCCCGAGGGCGCAGCAGCAGCAGCATCTGCTGCAGCAGAAGCCGCAGCAGCTGCTGCTGCACGAGCAGCACCAGTACCAACAGCAGCACCAGCAGCACCAGCAGCAAACCTCTCCGTTAATACTGGCTGGCGAGAGACAGATGCAGCAGCAATCACTGCAGCAGCAATCAGTGCAGCAGCAACCACTGCAGCAGCAATCGCTGCAGCAGCAACCACTGCAGCAGCAATCACTGCAGCAGCAACCACTGCAGCAGCAATCACTGCAGCAGCAACCACTGCAGCAGCAACCACTGCAGCAACAACCACTGCAGCAGCAACCACTGCAGCAACAACCACTGCAGCAGCAAGCGCTGCAGCACCAACCACTGCAGCAGCAACCACTGCAGCAGCAAGCGCTGCAGCACCAACCACTGCAGCAGCAACCACTGCAGCAGCAAGCGCTGCAGCACAAACCACTGCAGCTGCAAGCGCTGCAGCAATCGAAGCAGCAATTGCTGCAGCAACCGCAGCAGCAATCCAAGCAGCAGCAGCAACCACCACAGCAGCAGCCGCCACCGCAGCAGCCACTGAAGCCGCAGACACTGCAGCAGCAACCGTTACAGCAGCAACCAGTCCAACAGCAAACACTACAGCAGCAGCAATCACTGCAGAAGCAGCAAACACTGCAGCCACAGCCAATGCAGCAGCAACAGCAGCAGCAGCAATTGCTGCAGCAGCAAAGGCAACAGCAGCAATTGCTGCAGCAACAACCACTGGAGCAGCAATCACTACAGCAGCATGGTCATCTGCAGCAGCAGGCCGTGCAGCAGCAAAGACTGAAGCACGAACAGCAGCAACAGCAACGGCAGTATCATCATCAGCAGCAGCAGCAGCAGAGGCAACCCTGGTTGAGCGCTGCCCAACCTGGTGTGGCTCAGCGGCAGCAGCAGCAGCAGCAACAGCAGCAGGCCCTATACTACCAGCACCAACAGCTTCAACAAGAGCAGCAGCAGCAGCAACCACTGCGGCAGGAACTGCAGCAGGAACAGCAGCAGCAGCAGCAGCACTTGCAACTGCAGCAGCACCACTTGCAGCTGCAGCAGCAGCCCCAACGGGAAACGCAGCAGTATCCGCACTTGCTGCTGCAGAAGCAGCAGCAGCATCAGCCACACTTGCAGCAGCAGCCCTTGCAGCAGCCCTTGCAGCAGCAGCAGCAGCAGCAGCAACAAGATCAGCGAGCTGAAGTAGAAGATGAAGGTTTGCTGCTGGGGGCCTTTGTTCCTGTTGCTGCTCTTATAGACGCATATAAAGACATTCGCGGTATATCTAGTTTGCTGCAGTGGCAGAGAGACTGTCTCCTAGTCTCTCAGCCAGCAGCAGCAGCAGCAGCAACAACAGCAACGGCAGCAGCAGCAGCAGCACCTGCTGCTGGTTTGGGTTCCGCTGCTCCTTCCGCTAAAACGGAGCAAGCTGCTGCTGGGACACCTGCAGCAGCTGCAGCTGGTGCTGCAGCTCGCCAAGCGCAAACTTCGGCGGCAGCAGCAGCAGCAGACGGAGCAGCAGCAGCACGCACAGCAGCAGCAGCAGGTGCCCCTAGACAAAGAGAAGCAGAATCTGCTGCTGTATCAGCAGGAGCTGCTGCTGTTGCGGCTGGAATTTCCTTGCGTTGGCCCCGACCCGCAGCAGCAACAGCAGCAACAGCAGCAGCAGCAGCAACA